TGGAGTGTGAGGAAAGTAACACTTATTAAGGGACTCAGCGAAAATGGTTAGCCGGACTCGAGTCCTGGAGATGGGAAGTACAGTGCCTGCACTCTGAAGGAAGATTGGAGATATGTTGCAGTTTTTTAACTTTAATGTTGGCATGCCTCTGGCAAGACAGTTATGGAGTGAGTGGTGATTAAAATGTTTTGTCTTTTTTGAGTCACATTGCCTCTGTGGGAAACAGCCAGTGTGTTGATAAAAATAATTAACCAAGTGAATTTAAATTATTAAGTATAATGGCTCACAGGGATATTGATTCAACATGAATGAAGTGTATTTAAACTACAACATGGCATCACCTGTAAGAAGTGCTATACACATTCATGTCATTCATTGGTATAAGTTTTACCACTGTTCTAGGAAGCTCTACTTAATGCAGTAAAATATAATTGAAGGTAATTAGAACCCTGTATATAGTACAAAAAAAAAAAAGGTTCTGATCATTCACAAAGGAGAGAGAGGAGGGAATAATTCATTGTGGAAACTCCATTAAGGTTTTTTCTGTTACCGTCATATGCCTAGCAGCATAACCTACCTGGGGCACCCACACACAGGCCTCCCCGCCAATAACAACACATACGTGGCTGCAAGATCATCCATCATAGTTAACTAACCTAAGAACAGAAATCATGAACATGACTTTTACATTGTGTGAGGACAGGGAAATATACCCAAAATGAACAAGAGTGTTTGATGTGATTCACCATAAGAAATGTTTTGTGGGGTAGTAAGTCACAGCATTCCAAATTTTCCTCAACCACTGCTTACTCCAAACCTACACCTTTTCACCCAACCCTCACACTTTGCCTCCCTTTAATTTTGCCAAGCAGTGACATACACTTCGGCAGAAATCTGGTTTGGTGATACCCAGACTACTTATAGAATATGGGCAGGATGGCATGTGGAAAGGTCTTTGGAGAAAAAATCTAGGGTCACATGCAACCCATGTTTTTCCAAACACCATATCTTGTGTGCATCCATTCAACTAGAAAAGATTTTCTGGGTCTGCAATGAGGACACGGGGAGTTTTGGACAGGATTCAGGAAAGTACTGAGAGTACTAAACAATAAACAAGAAAACTGAGAAGTCCTCTTGGATAGTCTATACAAGATGTACAGAACATGGGAGGAGGGGCAAGTGACAACCTCCACTGAGCCAGAATATGAAAGATAAGAAAAGTATAACAACATACAAAATGCCCGAATTACAGTAGATGAGTCATCTGGATGCACTGAAGGACAAACAGAATGCAGATGTAGTATACAAAGACTTTGCAAAAAGCCTTTGACAAGTGCAATCATGGTGCAACAGCACATAAAATGTGTGCTAATGGAATACAGTGGACCCCCGCCTAACGAACGCATCGCATAACGTTAATTCCGCCATTTGAAGCATTTGAACGCAAAAATTTTCCCTCACCTCACGATAGAAAACTCGCCCAACGTGATTCCTCCCAAACCTGTCCATCCAGCCTGAGCGCCTCAGCTGCCCTGCCGTCATTGTTTACAAGCCAGGGTGGCCGGCTGCATGCATACATTTTGTATTATATTCCATTGTTTATAGTGCTTGTAACTGCTAAATAAGCCACCATGGGGCCAAAGAAAGCTTCTAGTGCCAACCCTGCGGTAAAAAGGGTGAGAAATACGTACTATTGTACTACGGTCAGCTGCTGCTGCACCACGGTCAGCTGTTGCTGCACCACAGTCAGCTGTTGCTGCACCACGGTCAGCTGTTGCTGCACCACAGTCAGCTGTTGCTGCACCACAGTCAGCTGTTGCTGCACCACGGTCAGCTGTTGCTGCACCACTGTCAGCTATTGCTGCACCACGGTCAGCTGTTGCTGCACCACCGTCAGCTGTTGCTGCACCAGTCAGCTGTTGCTGCACCACAGTCAGTTGCTGCTGCACCACGGTCAGCTGCTGCTGCACCATGGTCAGCTGCTGCTGCACCACAGTCAGCTGTTGCTGAACCACAGTCAGCTGCTGCTATGCCACAGTCAGCTGCTGCTGCACCACAGTCAGCTGTTGCTGCACCACGGTTAGCTGCTGCTGAACCACAGTCAGCTGCTGCTGCACCAAAGTCAGCTGCTGCTGCACCACGGTCAGCTGTTGCTGCACCACAGTCAGCTGCTGTGCCACCACAGTTAGCTGCTGCTGCACCACCATCAGCTGTTGCTGCACCACAGTCAGCTGTTGCTGCTGCTGCACCACCATCAACTGTACTACTCGAAGATGTGGAGAGTGTGTTGTTGGTGTGGCTTAACGGGAAACAATTACCGAGAAACAATTAACCCCAGATGGTTAGCCACCCAGGATAACCCAAGAAAGCCAGTGCATCATCGAGGACTGTCTAACTTATTTCCATTGGGGTCCTTAATCTTGTCCCCCAGGATGCGACCCACAACAGTCGACTAACACCCAGGTGAACAGGAAAAAATGCCTGGAACTAGTGCTCATATTGGTGAATTTAAGGCCAGGTTGGTTTGAGAGATTTAAGAATTGTAGTGGCATACACAGTGCGATAAGGCATGGTGAAGCTGAAAAATTCCAACCCCAACAAGTGTTCAACTGTGACAAAACAGGCCTATTCTGGAAGAAAATGCCAAACAGGACCTACATTTCTCAGGAGGAAAAGGCACTCCCAGGACACAAGCCTGTGAAAGACAGGCTAACTCTCATGTTTTGTTGTACTGCTAGTGGGAATTGCAAAGTGAAGCCTTTACTCATGTATCACTCTGAAAATCCCAGAGTGTTCAATAAAGGTAAGTGTCATTTTAACATTTATTTATGTAGTTATTGTGCATGTCTCATTGTTTCCTTTGTAAGGAAATGTATATTTCATGAAAAAAAAAAAAATTTAATACTTTTGGCTGTCTGGAACGGATTAATTAGATTTCCATTACATATTTCTTATGGGGAAAATTAATTCAGCTAACGATAATTTCAGCTAACGATGAGCTCTCAGGAACGGATTAATATCATTAGGCGAGGGTCCACTGTAATTGGAAAAGTAGGAAGATTGATCTTTAACTTTCTAACAAATAGAACACAAAGAGTAATGGAAAATAGAGTTAAGGTGGAAGCTGCCACAGTGAAAAGATCTGTTCCACAAGGCACAGTACTTGCCCATATACTTTTCCTCATCTACATATCAGACATACAGATATAAACCACAGCACCATGTCTTCTTTTGCAAATGATACTAGAATCTGCACGAGTGTCATCCATTGAGAACATGGTTAAATCTCGAGGTGGATTTAAAGCAAGTTTTCCAATGGGCCACAGCAAACAATATGATGCTCAATTAGGACATTTTTCAGTAAGTCTGTTACAGCCTCTCCTCACTTAGTGTCATACTCGTTTACCGATGCCTCATACTTAAGATGGGTTCTCTGACTAGTATTCATACCTTTATAATGTATATTAGAGCAAATTTCCTCTATTCTGTTTATTTCAATATACAGTACACTACTGTATAAACATTAAAAAATATACCTGAAATGTTATAAATGGTATAAAGGTGACATTAAAACAATATCAAAGATGGTTGACACAAACCCACTACCATTATAGTATGCTCCTCACTCAGCGACGAATAGAGTTCTGGTCTTAGGACCGGAACTCTATCGTTAAGTGAGGAGAGGCTGTATAGAAAACTTGAGTTAATATTAGCTTGAATGGAGTACAGGTCTCCCTCAACATTCGCGAGGGTTAGGGGATCAAGAGCCTCGCGAATGTTGAAAAACCGTGAATGTTTGGTGCCCCAATATATTGTAGGGAAATATATTACAATACTGCTTCCTTAACTTGTTGAACCATGAATAATCATAAAATACATGAAAACGTCATAAATTGTACTAAATATTTACATGTTATGCTTTAATAACGTATGTTATTTAATAACATGTATGTTAATAACATGTATGTTATTAAATACCACAGACTCCACCACTGCGAGTCCCTACTACCCTCCCTCCGACCCCCGCAACTGGCAGCCAGCCCTCCCACCACTCAGTGTGGTGAGTGTTTTGTTTATTCATTATTTGCTATTAAACTACAGAATAAATAATGTAAACCCATTCATGACTGCATATTGGAATGGCTATTCGGACAGGCATTAGACGGTGGCATCATGTGTTTACTCTTGAACACAGCAAAGAATCGAACATTTCTGCTATTGCTAATAATAACAATAGTAATAATAATAATAATAATAATAATAATAATAATAATAAATACGATATAATTGAAGAAGGAAATTGTACAAAAATACGAGGGAGTGGTTGACACATCGTCAGTGTGACTTTGTTTATGCTGGAGTGAGCATTAGTCTCCCTGCTCTTCCAAACATTTCACAATAATTCAGCGGTTGAGGCAGTGGTATTAATAACATATATGTTATAAATAATAATAGTACATGTTATTATTAATAACATGTATTATTATTAACATGTATGTATTTAATAACATATGTTATAAATAATAATAGTACATATTATTAATAACATGTATTATTATTAACATGTATGTTATTAAATACCATTGCCTCAATCACTGCCTCTACCACTCCAGTCACACTCAATCTACAAGCACCAAACACAATGAATTATTGTGAAATGTTTGGAAGAGCAGGGAGACTAATGTTCACTCCAGCATAAACAAAGTCACACTGACGATGTGTCAACCACTCCCTCGTATTTTTGTACAATTTCCTTCTTCAGTTATATCATATTTATTATTATTATTATTATTATTATTATTACTATTGTTATTATTATCTGTAGCACAAATGTTTAATTCTTTGCAGTGTTCAAGAGTAAACACATGATACCACCGTCTAATACCTGTCCGAATAGCCATTCCAATATGCAGTCATGAATGGGTTTACATTATTTATACTGTAGTTTAATAGCAAATAATGAACAAACAAAACACTCACCACACTGAGTGGTGGGAGGGCTGGCTGCCAGTTGCGGGGGTCGGAGGGAGGGTAGTAGGGACTCGCAGGTGGCGGGAAACTTAAATATGATTTGGTGGCTGGGAATTTGGTGGCTGGGAATTTGGTGGTTGGGAATTCGCGAATGTGTGAAGCCTGTGAAAGTTGAAAACGTGAATGTTGAGGGAGACCTGTATACTACAAACTCTAACCACACAATAGAACAAAAAATAATGTGAAGGACTTGGGAGTGTTAATCAGAGGATCTCACCTTCAAGGATCACAGTATCACTATCACATCTCTATGGAAAATGACAGGATGGATAAAGAGAACTTCCAAAACATGGGATGCCATGCCAATGATGATCCTTATTCAAGTCACTTGTTCTTTCTAAGATGGAATACTGCTGGACACCAACAGCTCCATTGAAGGCAGGTGAAATCACAGATCTAGAGAATGTACAGAGAACCTTCACTACATGTATAAATAATTATTTGGAATGACTCACGAAATCGTAATGATACAATTGCAAACAAACCATACCACGGGCGGGGAGAGAACTCGCAATCAGAGAGTCTCAAAACTCCAGACCATCACGCTAGCCACTGGACCAGCTAGCCACGGTCTGGAATTTTGAGACTCTCTGATTGCGGGTTCTCTCCCCGCCCGTGGTATGGATTATTTGGAATGTTTGGAGTCTCTTGACCTGTACTACCTGGAATGCAGGAGAGAGAGATCAACCCGGCTGTGATGGATATGTGGGGAAATGGGCCACCAGCAGCAATAGCCTAGTTTACCAGACAAGCACCAAACGAGCCTGGGCCATGGCCTAGCTCTGGAAGTAGAATGATTCTCGGAACTCATCAAAGGTATATCAAAGGAATGGAAAATCCTTGAGGAACTGGTCCCAAATCTACACACACAAATCACTCCCTATGAAAGCAAAAAGAGTAAGGAGACAGATACAATACCCCAAAGAAAATCAGGGATGGTATGAATACACTAAGAGAAAACATAGCAAGTGTTTGGGGCCCAAAACTGTTCAACAGCCTCCCACCATGTATAAGGGGAATTACCAATTAACCCCTGGCTGTATTCAAGAAGAAACTGGACAGATACCTAAAGTCAGTACCTAATCAGCCAGGCTGTGGTTCATACATTGAATTGTGTGCAGCCAGCAACAACAGCCTGGTTGATCAAGCCCTGAACCACAAGGAGGCCTGATCAAGGACTGGGCCACCAGGGTGCTGACCCTCAGAGAGTAGGTAGGAGTTTCTACTACATATTTTTTTTGACACACTGGCTGTCTTCCACCCAGGCAGGGTGACCTGAAAAAAAAAAAAACATGTTCATCATGACTCGCTCCATCACTGCCTTGCAGAGGCATACCAATACTACAGCTCAAAACTGCAAATATCCACATCTCTCCTTCAGAGTGAGGGCACTGTATTTCCCACCTCCAGGACTCAAGTCCAACTAACCACATATATAGGTAATAATTTAGTACAAATATGGGAGCTGAACTCCATTCTTCTCAGCCACAGCACCTCTGGTATTGGTAACATTAACCAGTAAGACACATGGAGTTTTCAAAGAACTCTATGCCCCACATTTGCACAACAGAAAAAAAGGAAAAAGACTAAATAGATATAGTTATATGTTGACTTTTACCTTTGTTGTGGGAATATTTCTTATAAATACTGTTAAAAGAATGAGTATTCTTATAATATTAACACCAGTGTTCTCCTACTGCACTTATTTAACTCCTGCTTCTCACTGAATATTTCACTCCAGAATTCATGGCTACAGCAGGAAGCACATTACAGAACTGACTTTACAGTATTTTCCATATACTGTTCATACTCTGTATTAGTTCTCTTGTTTACACAAGACATATTTTATAAAAAAGACAAGAGATATTCTCAACATTAATAGAACTCTTATATGATTTCCATGACGGACATTTCGTTAACATCTTTCACTCTGAGCACTGAAATTGTATATTCCTTGTATTAATGTTGGTAGAATTACCGACAATATCTTGGGTAAATGGACACAAGTGCAACTAATGTAACATTTTATTGTGGCAACATTTCCCTCTCCAAGAGCTTTGTCAGGATGTTACAGCTTGACAAAACTCCTGGAGAGGGAAACGTTGCCACAATAAAATGTCACATTAGTTTCGCTTGTGTTCATTTGCCTGCATATCCCTTGTATAAATTCTCATGTGTTTATAGCTAAAATATTCCTGATACATTAAACACTAACATTACTCACGAAATCGCAAGGACACGATTGCAAACAAACCGTACCACAGGTGGGGGATCGAACATGTTTTGGGGATTGAACATGTTTTGGGAATTGAACATGTTTTGGGAATTGAACATGTTTTGGGAATTGAACATGTTTTGGGAAATGAACATGTTTTATCTCCAGTGTGTACTTTCATGTCTTACAAGATTGCCTCTTACACTAAAATATTTCAGACACTCAGAACACTGAAATGGTTTATCTCCTTTATGTATCCTCATGTGTGTCTCAAGGTGGCCTTTTTGATTAAAATCTTTCAGACACTCAGGACATTGGTATGGCTTATCTCCTGTATGTACTCTCATGTGTCTCTCAAGATTGCCTCTTGCACTAAAATATTTGAGACACTGTGGACACTGAAATGGCTTATCTCCTTTGTGTATTCTCATGTGTGTCTCAAGGTGGCTTTTTTGACCGAAATATTTCAGACACTCGGAGCACTGATATGGCTTATCTCCCGTATGTACCTGCATATGTCTTGCAAAATTACCTCTTACATTAAAATATTTCAGACACTCTGAACATTGAAATGGTTTATCTCGGATATGTACTCTCTTGTGTTTCTTAAGATGACCTTTGAAACTAAAATCTTTCAGACACTCCGAACACTGATACGGTTTAGCTTTGGTATGTACTCTCTTATGAGTCACAAGATGGCCTCTTTGATTAAAATTTTTCAGACACTCGGAACACTGATACGGCTTATCTCCCGTGTGCACTCGCATGTGTCTGTCAAGATTGCCTCTTACACTGAAATATTTCAGACACTTTGAACACTGAAATGGCTTCTCTCCCTTATGTACTCTCATATGTGTCACAAGATTGTGTTTTTGATTAAAATATTTCAGACACTCAAAACACTGATATGGTTTATCTCCTGTATGTATTCGCACATGTCTCATAAGATTGCCTTTTACGCTAAAATATTTCAGACACTCTAAACACTGATATGGTTTCTCTCCTTTATGTGCTCTCATGTGTGTCACAAGATTGTTTTTTTGATTAAAGCATTTCAGACACTCAAAACACTGATATGGTTTATCTCCTGTATGTATTCGCATGTGTCTCATAAGGTTGCCTCTTACGCTAAAATATTTCAGACACTCTAAACACTGATATGGTTTCTCTCCTTTATGTACTCTCAAATGTGTCTCAAGATGGCCTTTTTGATTAAAATATTTCAAGCACTCAAAACACTGATATGGCTTATCTCCTGTATGTACCCGCATATGTCTCACAAGATTGCCTCTTACACTGAAATATTTCAGACACTCAAAACACTGATGTGCTTTTTCTCCTTTATATTTCTGCATATTTTTCAAAAGATGAAATTTAATGATGAAATATTTTAGGGATTCAACAGTGGTATTGTTACTTTCCTTTATAGATTCTTACGTACATTTCAAGATTTTTTTTGTTTTGGTTAGCTAGTTTGGACACAGTGTTCTGTTCTTGTACATATTCCCATGTTAGATTTCTTTTAGGCAAAATGATTTTTTACCTATTAGCACCAATAAAATCTATTTTTGTTTTGTTTTGTGCGTTAAAAGACTTAGTGAACTAGAAAACTGTAAATACACTGAAGAACACTGGTGTGATTCTTAAGTACGATATGACTAATCTGTATTTTTCTATGAACCGCCATGTAATTCTTAGACTGAGTTACCATTATCAAAAGCAATCCGTTTTTATCAGTAATACTAGGCCAGTTACAAATTCACAATAAGAGGTGTTGACCTTCTTGAAGTACTGAAGATATAGTGTCTGGGAAGATGCAACCTGGTAGTGTTCCACAAAATATTCTGTAATATCAGTTGTTGTTCAGGACACACAGGTGTTTTTGCACTACTTGTCTGGGAAGATGCAGCCTGGTAGTGTTCCACAAAATATTCTGTAATATCAGTTGTTGTTCAGGACACACAGGTGTTTTTGCAGTACTTGTCTGGGAAGATGCAACCTGGTAGTCGTCCATACAATACTTCTGCAAGAGAAACATGAGTCAGTATAGTACAATATTCCTCCACTACCAACACAATATAATGAACTAGAAAACAAAAGGTTTTCTCTCTACTATCACATATTCCACTAAAAAAAATTGTCACTTTTAAATTTTTAAGGACTAAAAGTAAGTAAGTTTTCAAGGCTTGGTATATATCAATGTTTATCTATAAAGATCTTACAGATAAATCACATGTTGACTATAATAATTTTGTTAACCGATGATTGTGTAAACAATATGACACTGAACATATACATCGTAAATATTTATTATATTCATGGTAAGCAATAAACCCATAAGGGTGATACAATTTCTCCAGAAACTGAAGTAAACATGTTTGATCCAAGGCAGCATAAAGTAGCTATATGTCACTAGTTTCAAGAGGTATTTCATGTGCTGTGATTATTTCACTTTATATTGTCATAGAAAAGTTCTTGTGGTAAAGAAAGTGAGAAACACCATGGAATTTAAGCGTGAAGTGACTGATAAGTACGAGAGGGGTATGCGGGTGCTGGAACGTGCCAGGATGTATGCAGGTGCTGGAATGTGCCAGGATGTATGCGGGTGCTGGAATGTGCCAGGATGTATGCGGGTGCTGGAACGTGCCAGGATGTATGCGGGTGCTGGAATGTGCCAGGATGTATGCGGGTGCTGGAATGTGCCAGGATGTATGCGGGTGCTGGAACGTGTCAGGATGTATGCGGGTGCTGGAATGTGCCAGGATGTATGCGGGTGCTGGAACGTGTCAGGATGTATGCGGGTGCTGGAACGTGCCAGGATGTATGGGAAAAACAAATCGACTATAACATCCATCCTGGCAAAGAAAGAACAAATCAAGGACGGTAATGTTGCGAAAGGAGTAACTTTTGTAATGAAACAAAGGTCACCGATAATGAAACAGATGGAAAAGTTGTTGTTATTGTGGATTAAGGAAAAAGAGTTAGTGGGAGACAGTACTGTGGAGTCGATTATTTGTGAGAAGGCCAAGCAGTCACATAAGGATCTTCTACAGAAAACTCCTGGAACAAGTGCTGCTGGTAGTAAATTTAGGGCCAGCAAAGGCTGGTTTGAGAGATTTAAGAAGCGTAGTGACATACAGTATTGTAAGGCATGGAGAGGCTGCAAGTTCTGAAATAAAAGCAGCTGAAAAGTACGTACAGGAGTTCAAGGACTATGTAAAGGGCTAATAATTAAAACCCCCAACAAGTGTGACGAAACAGGCCTGTGTTGGAAGAAAATGTCACACAGGACCTACATCATGCAGGAGGAAAAGGCACTGCCAGGACACAAAATTATGAAAGACAGGCTTACTCTTTTGTTGTGTGGTAATGCTAGTGGGGATTTTAAAGTGAAGCCTTTACTTGTGTATCACTCAGAAAATCCCAGAGTGTTCAAGAAAAGCGATGTCATTAAGAATAGATTTTGTGTGATATGGGAAGCTAATTATAAGGCATGGGTCACAAGGCAAGTTTTCAAAGGGTGGGTTAATGATGTGTTTGCCCCAAGTGTGAAAAAACACCTGCTGGAAAAGAAATTGCCACTCCAGTGCCTCCTGTTACTGGATAATGCTCCTGCACATCCTCCAGACTTGGAAGACCAAGTGTTTAGGAACTTCAGTTTTATAAAAGATTTACTGTTATGCATACTGCATTATTGTAAAAATTGTATATATAATGTCAGTGCATTTGAGAACATGTACTAGACTGACCGTTTCGACATGTATTGGACAAGTGACGTAATTTGTGTACTCCAGAATATCAGCAAAAATCGCCACTTTGAGCTCAATTTCAAGCTACTTTCAGTCCAGAAATCAATCAAAATCATCTCTATTTCAGTCATATATCTTCCATTCTATCACACGAGACCAAGAAACCAAGAACACAACAATAAAAACCATATGAAAATACACCATAAAGTCACTGTTTTAAACCAAAGACACAATGGCAATTTTTCCAACATTATGCACTGCTGCAGGATTTTTTATATGGTGCACACTTACCAATTCTCTCACATCTAGGTCCAAATTTACTGTTCACAGCTTATCTGAGTGAGCTGAGCTCATGGCATTGAGCTACAGAGCCGATCCAGATTTCAAAGCAGTAGTACTACGGGAATGACCATCAAAGGGCTAAATAAGCTTACTGAATGTTTGCAACTTCTTTAATAAATAAAATAAAGCCAGGTTGGCACAGCTATTGCCTACTAACCCAAGCTTTAGACCCAGGTCCCGTAGCTCGATTGCTAGTGCACTTGGCTCACATGTTGAGGTTCAAGGGGTCGATTTCCAGTATGGTTGGAAACATTAGGACGTGTTTCCTTAAGATACCTGCTGTCCATGTTCACCCATCAGTAAAATGGGTACTTAGGAGTTAGTGGACTGGTGTGGATTGCATCCTGAGACAAAAAAATGGACCTAATTTGCCCATATGTCACTGATGTCAGTTAAGCCTGGATACCTTGTACATGTAATTGTAGAAATAATGATTACTATTATTATTATTATTATTACGTATTTTAACAGGTTACTGAAGTTAGGGCTCTAATAAACAACTTGACAATTCACATTGGCTGTGATGGAATGCCTTGTATGTTGCATGCATGCAATCAATGTAAGATATATATATAATTAGTATATTTATAAAAGTCATTCATTTTATGTAATTCAATGAGTCATGTTGCTATTAAATAAAGGATCAAGTCAAGTGTATTAGTTTCCAACTGCAACCCTGTGTAAACTGTTAATTGACTAGAATAATACTGAGTGAATAATTACTTATTCATACTGTACAGTTACTGAAGTTAGTTCTAATAAACAATTTACAATTAAATGACTGACAGATGGAAGCCTTGATGTGCTGATATTTGTATAGCTATATACTATGTATATACTTATAATTTCATTCCTATATGTATTTTTAACGTCTAGATTTAAATAAAGAGTCAATGTCAAGGATGCCACCAATGAAATCTCAAATTTTGGTGTATCCAGGTAACAGATGGAATATGCCTGCTATGTCAAATCTGTTTCAACTGTATGCTTGTGTAGAAACTGATGCTAAATGTTTCCAATTCAGAAAAGTGTAGAGTGATTTATTGTATAGTAACTCAGTCTTTTACTTTCAATTGTCATGTACACAATTTTTACTAGATTGACTAATAAGCATGTTGCAAGGACTCCCATGGAAATAATCACCTGAAATGTTGAGAATCCTAGGTAATCTACAATGTGCTTTTTGTATGCTCATTTATGTATGTATTTGTTTACCTGTTTACAAGTTACTGCAGAAAGATTGTAAGAGAGATTCTAAGGTATCAACCCCAGAGTTAGTCACAGTTCACCATTTGTTCACTGATTGGACTCGGTCATTTCCATATGTCCAATATGTCCCAATGTTCAAAGTGCTAACACATGGTGTTTAAACTACCTAGTTGTCGACTGAACATACAGTTGGATGAACCATCAAGACTTTGCTGGGACTTGAACCCGACTCCCACCCATTATCACATCCACGCAATTGTGCACACTGCACCATTGTCACTTCCCACCCATTGTCACACTACCCATTGTCACACTCCCACCATGTCACACTCCCACCCATTGTCCACTACCACCATGACAACACCACTTGTCACACTCACCACCTTATGTCACGACTCCCACCATTGTCACATTCCCACCATTGTCACACTCCCACCCATTGTCACACTCCACCATTGTCACACTCCCACCCATTGTCACACTCCCACCCATTGTCACACTCCCACCCATTGTCACACTCCCCACCCATGTACACTCCCACACCATTGTCACACTCCCACCCATTGTCACACTCCCACCCATGTCACACTCCCACCCATTGTCACACTCCCACCCATTGTCACACTCCACCCATTGTCACACTCCCACCATTGTCACACTCCCACCCATTGTCACACTCCCACCCATTGTCACACTCCCACCCACTGTCACACTCCCACCCATTGTCACACTCCCACCCATTGTCACACTCCCACCCATTGTCACACTCCCACCCATTGTCACACTCCACCCATTGTCACACTCCACCCATTGTCACACTCCCACCCATTGTCACACTCCCACCCAATTGTCACACTCCCACCCATTGTCACACTCCCACCCATTGTCACACTCCCACCCATTGCACACTCCCACCATTGTCACACTCCCACCCATTGTCACACTCCCACCCATTGTCACACTCCCACCCATTGTCACACTCCCACCCATTGTCACACTCCCACCCATTGTCACACTCCCACCCATTGTCACACTCCCACCCATTGTCACACTCCCACACCATTGTCACACTCCACGCATTGTTCACACTCCCCCCATTGTCACACTCCCACCCATTGTCACACTCCACCCATTGTCACACTCCCACCCATTGTCAATCCCACCTGTCACCTCCCATTGTCACACTCCCACCCATTGTCACACACCACCCATTGTCACACTCCCACATGTCACCTCCCACTTGTCACACTCCCACCCACTGTCACACTCCCACCCAATGTCACACTCCCACCCATTGTCACCCCACCATTGTCACACCCCCATTGTCACACCACCATTGCCCACTCCCATTGTCACACTCCCCTTTCACATCCACCCACTGTTACACTCCCACCATTGTCACACTCCACCCATTGTCACACTCCCACCCATTGTCACACTCCACCATGGTACACTCCCACCCAATTGTCACACTCCCACCCATTGTCACACTCCCACATTGTCACACTCCCATGCATTATCACACTCCCACCCATTGATCACACTCCCACCCATGTCACACTCCACACACACCATGCATCACACTCCACCCATTACACACTCCCACCCACTGTCACACTACCCCCCATGTCACACATCCCACCCACTGTCACACTCCCACCATGTCACACTCCCACCATTGTCACACTCCCACCCATTGTCACACTCCCACCATTATCACACTCCCACCCATTGTCACACTCCCCACCCAGGGTCACACTCCCACCCATTGTCACACTCCCACCCATTGTCACACTCCCACCATGGATCACACTCCACCCTTTCACACCCCATTGTCACACTCCCACCCATGGATCACACTCCCACACATGGATCACACTCCCACCATGGATCACACTCCCACACATGGATCACACTCCAACATGATCACTACACATGGATCCACTCCATAATGACACTCACACACATGGATCACACTCCCACACATGGATCACACTCACACACATGGATCACACTCACACACATGGATCACACTCACACACATGGATCACACTCCCACCCATGGATCACACTCACACACATGGATCACACTCCCACACATGGATCACACTCCCACACATGGATCACACTCCCACCCATGGATCACACTCCCACCCATGGATCACACTCCCACACATGGATCACACTCACACACATGGATCACACTCACACACATGGATCACACTCCCACACATGGATCACACTCACACCATGGATCACACTCCCACACATGGATCACACTCCCACACATGGATCACACTCCCACACATGGATCACACTCCCACAAATGGATCACACACCCACACATGGATCACACTCCCACACATGGATCACACTCCCACACATGGATCACACTCCCACACATGGATCACACTCCCACACATGGATCACACTCCCACCCATGGATCACACTCCCACCCATGGATCACACTCACACACATGGATCACACTCCCACACATGGATCACACTCCCACACATGGATCACACTCCCACACATGGATCACACTCACACCCATGGATCACACTCACACCCATGGATCACACACACACATGGATCACACTCACACACATGGATCACACTCACACAAATGGATAACACTCACACACATGGATCACACTCACACACATGGATCACACTCACTCACATGGATCACACTCACACACATGGATCACACTCACACACATGGATCACACTCACACACATGGATCACACTCACACACATGGATAACACTCACACACATGGATCACACTCCCACACATGGATCACACTCACACACATGGATCACACTCCCACACATGGATCACACTCCCACACATGGATCACACACCCACACATGGATCACACTCCCACACATGGATCACACTCTCACACATGGATCACACTCCCACACATGGATCACACTCTCACACATGGATCACACTCCCACCCATGGATCACACTCACACACATGGATCACACTCCCACACATGGATCACACACACACATAGATCACACTCTCACACATGGATCACACTCACACACATGGATCACACTCCCACACATGGATCACACTCACACACATGGATCACACTCACACACATGGATCACACTCCCACACATGGATCACACTCCCACCCATGGATCACACTCCCACCCATGGATCACACTCACACACATGGATCACACTCCCACACATGGATCACACTCCCACACATGGATCATACTCCCACACATGGATCACACTCACACACATGGATCACACTCCCACACATGGATCACACTCCCACACATGGATCACACTCACACACATGGATCACACTCACACACATGGATCACACTCGCACACATGGATCACACTCACACACATGGATCACACTCCCACACATGGATCACACTCCCACACATGGATCACACTCCCACCCATGGATCACACTCCCACACATGGATCACACTCCCACACATGGATCACACTCCCACACATGGATCACACTCCCACACATGGATCACACTCCCACACATGGATCACACACCCACACATGGATCACACTCCCACACATGGATCACACTCCCACACATGGATCACACTCCCACACATGGATCACACTCCCATACATGGATCACACTCCCACACATGGATCACACTCCCACACATTGTTCACATTCCCACACATGGATCACACTCCCACACATGGATCACACTCCCACACATGGATCACACTCCCACACATGGATCACACTCACACACATGGATCACACTCACATGGATCACACTCCCACACATGGATCACGCTCCCACACATGGAACACACTCCCACACATGGATCACACTCCTACACATGGATCACACTCCCACACATGGATCACACTCCCACACATGGATCACACTCCCACACATGGATCACACTCCTACACATGGATCACACTCCCACACATGGATCACACTCCCACACATGGATCACACTCCCACACATGGATCACACTCCTACACATGGATCACACTCCCACACATGGATCACACTCCCACACATGGATCACACTCCCACATAAGGATCACTCTTTATTTATTTATTTATTTATTAACAATTTGAGCACACATACAGAGGTACAAAAAATACAGATAAGAGCAGCATGCCAAAGCCACTTATACTATGCATAGCATTACGGGCTGGCTTAAAATTAACTTAGGATTAACTAAGCAATGATGAAATCAGTGATAAAACATTAATGTAAACAGATAACTATAAAGCACAAGTGAGTATTACAAAGACAGGTCATATGGTTGCATGCATTACTGTTCATTCAGTCGTATGAAGTATTCTGTTAGGTAGTGTATTTAAAAAAATAATAAAGTTAGATTCGGTTTTAGGTTTAACATTTATGTGATATAATTGTGAGAAACATTTAAGATATACAATTTATAAGGTTCAGTTATTCAGTATTTATTTGGTTTTGAGTAAGTGATCTTTGAGAAGAGACTTGAATTTATAAACAGGTAGTGTTTCTTTTATATTTACAGGTAATGAATTCCAGATTTTAGGGCCTTTTATGTGCATTGAGTTTTTGCATAGCGTGAGATGGACACGAGGAATATCAAAGAGTGATCTGTGCCTTGTGTTATGGTCATGTGTTCTGTTGAGGTTGGCAAGGAGATGTTTGAGGGGAGGGTTAATATCAGAGTTAAGTGTTCTATGTATGTAATAAGTGCAATAATAAGTATGGATGTTTTGTATGGTGAGTAGGTTGAGTGTTTTGAATATTGGTGGAGTGTGCTGCCTGTAGTGAGAATTTATCATCATTCTAACTGCAGCCTTTTGTTGGGTAATTAGTGGTTTGAGATGGTTAATTGTTGTTGAGCCCCATAAACAAATTCCATAGGTGAGATAGGGGTAAATAAGAGAGTGATAAAGGGCCAGTAGGGCTGACTGTGGAACATAGTACCGTATCTTCGATAGTATGCCTACATTATTATTATTATAATCAAAAAAAGAAGCGCTAAGCCAGTATGCCTACAGTCTTGGAAATTTTCTTAGAAATTTGTTGTATATGTGTATGAAATTTGAGTCTATTATCAAGGTGGATTCCTAAGAATTTTCTCTCTGTTAGCTTTGTGATAGATGATCTGTTTATCATTATGTTAAGAGGTACATCTGTAGTTCTGTTACCAAACTGAATGAAGTAGGTTTTGTCAATGTTTAGTGTAAGTTTGTTAGTCCTCATCCAGGTAGATATTTTCTGTAATTCGGTATTTACAGTATTGGCTAGTGTGACTGGGCTCGGGTGAGAGAAGACATATGTAGTGTCATCTGCAAGTAGTGTGGGTTTGAGTAATTGCGAAGCATTTGGAAGGTCATTTATGTATAGGAGAAAGAGAAGAGGGCCAAGGACACTTCCCTGTGGGACACCAACTGTAATTGGTTGTGCAGAAGAGTTTGCCCCATTTGCGTACACATATTGGCTTCTGTTGCTGAGGTAAGACTTGAGGTAGTTGAGGGAGTGCCCTCTTATACCATAGTGTGACAATTTTACGTGGAGCAAGTCATGGTTAACTGTATCAAAAGCTTTACGTAAGTCAATGAAGATCCCCAGTGGGACTTCTTTTTTCTCTATTGCAGTGTATACATGTTCTAGCATGTGTATAATAGCATCATTAGTATTTTTATTAGGCCTGAATCCAAATTGGCAGGGGTTGAGTATGTTGTGGGAGATAAGGTAGGGTAGGATCCAGAATACGGCGGGATAGCTCCAGTTCCTGGGATCAAAACCCGTCACGGGGCACCAACGCACCTTGATGTATCATCACCACGCATGTATCGCGAGCGGTAAAGCCGCAGGGGCGAGAGAGAGCCACAAATATGAGAGACAAACCAGACTGCTCAATGTTTACAAGTCTGGTGCTGGCTTCACTGTGTTCCAACACCTGCACTTAACTACACTAATGTTATATATGACTTCTGTCATCTATTATAAACATTATTTATAATATATATATCTCTGTTATAATCTATTGATAATTTTTTACGTGCTCATGTATGCCTTCAACACTAATGAAGGGAATTTTATTTAAAAAAAATTTGAATTTAAGGCAGAGTTTTGGAGGAAGTGTTGACTGGCGACTTCAGCTGTGAATCCGGATTTGTCTTGACACTTCAAGAACCCTGATGATGATGATGATGATCATGATCATGATTATTATTATTATTATTATTATTATTATTATTATTATTATTATTATTATTATTATTATGGAGGGGTGTCTGTGCAGTACAGTTTGCTAAGTATCTCTTGGGCCACGACACAGCCGACCGTTTTGCCGAGGTGGCCCGTGGCCTGGTGGGAAAAGCTCTCGCTTCACACTCTGAGGGTCCAGGTTCAATTCCCGGCGAGGGTTGAAACATTGGGCCTGTTTCCTTTCACATGTTGTCCATGTTCACCCATCAGTAAAATGGGTACCTGGGTGTAAGTGGACTGATGTGGGTCACATCCTGGGTGTTAGTGGACTGGTGTGGGTCACATCCTGGGTGTTAGTGGACTGGTGTGGGTCACATCCTGGGTGTTAGTGGACTGATGTGGGTCACATCCTGGGTGTTAGTGGACTGGTGTGGGTCACATCCTGGGTGTTAGAGGACTGGTGTGGGTCACATCCTGGGTGTTAGTGGACTGGTGTGGGTCACATCATGGGTGTTAGTGGACTGGTGTGGGTCGCATCCTGGGTGTTAGTGGACTGATGTGGGTCACATCCTGGGTGTTAGTGGACTGGTGTGGGTCACATCCTGGGTGTTAGTGGACTGGTGTGGGCCACATCCTGAGTGTTAGTGGACTGGTGTGGGTCACATCCTGGGTGTTAGTGGACTGGTGTGGGTCACATCCTGGGTGTTAGTGGACTGGTGTGGGTCACATCCTGGGTGTTAGTGGACTGGTGTGGGTCACATCCTGGGTGTTAGTGGACTGGTGTGGGTCACATCCTGGGTGTTAGTGGACTGGTGTGAGTCACATCCTGGGTGTTAGTGGACTGGTGTGGGTCACATCATGGGTGTTAGTGGACTGGTGTGGGTCACATCCTGGGTGTTAGTGGACTGGTGTGGGTCACATCCTGGGTGTTAGTGGACTGATGTGGGTCACATCCTGGGTGTTAGTGGACTGGTGTGGGTCACATCCTGGGTGTTAGTGGACTGGTGTGGGTCACATCCTGGGTGTTAGTGGACTGGTGTGGGTCACATCCTGGGTGTTAGTGGACTGGTGTGGGTCACATCATGGGTGTTAGTGGACTGGTGTGGGTCACATCCTGGGTGTTAGTGGACTGGTGTGGGTCACATCCTGGGTGTTAGTGGACTGGTGTGGGTCACATCATGGGTGTTAGTGGACTGGTGTGGGTCACATCCTGGGTGTTAGTGGACTGGTGTGGGTCGCATCCTGGGTGTTAGTGGACTGATGTGGGTCACATCCTGGGTGTTAGTGGACTGGTGTGGGTCACATCCTGGGTGTTAGTGGACTGGTGTGGGTCACATCCTGGGTGTTAGTGGACTGGTGTGGGTCACATCCTGGGTGTTAGTGGACTGGTGTGGTCACATCATGGGTGTTAGTGGACTGATGTGGGTCACATCCTGGGTGTTAGTGGACTGGTGTGGGTCACATCCTGGGTGTTAGTGGACTGGTGTGGGTCACATCCTGGGTGTTAGTGGACTGGTGTGGGTCGCATCCTGGGACAAAACTAACCTAATTTGCGGGAAATGCTCTACATAACAAGTGGCTTTCTATATAGTAGTATGTCATTGATGTCAACTATGGTCTGTATACCTTGTACATGTACTGATAGAAACAGAGAGGCAGTAGGCAGTCTGGGATGAAGTGATCATGGCAGAGATGCAACACGCCCGGCCAGAGAGACGTGTAGTAAGATTACCATCCCCTACGTAATTAAAGATCAAAGTGTTAAATTAAATGACTTGTGGAGTCAAGGAATTACACTGAATTCACAGTTGTGTGGTTTATCCTTTCCTGTCCGTGACTACACTTGATTTTCTGAGGGCCACCAATGGCTGGTCAGCGTCAACCTTGGTCAGATTAGATTGCAATCCATAATTCTCTGCCAGGTAAGAAGGGAGCTAGCTTAGGCAGGGGTATTTGGTTCAGAATAACAAGAATTAATCATGGTGTCATACACGTGACTCCAACACAAGGCGGACACCTCTCTCTACCAAGTGTACTGGGTAATCAAAGCCTGGATAATGAACTAGGCACCAGGTGTTATTAGACAACCCATCGGAGGTAAGACTAACATCAGATTAGACTTAGGATGTAGACAAATGGATCAGAGACCCGACAAGTTGATAAATTAGACACATGTGCGACATCTGAGTATCTTTATTAAGGTAATGGCTTCGCCACACAGTGGCCTCATCAGTCCAATACAAAGAAGAATGGTGAATGCTGATCTTCAACACTGTGATGGCTGGGGTCTAGCTTGACTAATATGTGATTAATTAGTATCTATCAAAGTAGGAACATCCCACTAATTATTGACATTCTGTGGGTTAAACGATATCAATTATCAGTCATAGCGATGTGACAATACTTGCTGTCGATGTGGCTGGCACGCCAACACTTCGAGTTCCCTTATACTGCACGATGACGGATCTATAGCCAGCCACAGTGAGGTGCAGCACTCAGCGAGGTGCAGCACTCAGCGAGGTGCAGCACCAGCTCACTATGTGACCAGTTTGTCACGTCATTAGTGACAGGCAGACTGTACAACCTGCTACTCTAAACTGTGATTGTCACACTGGTCACATCTCTAATCACCAGTCAATTGGTGTTAAAGAGAGATGTTACCTATGCTAATCACCAGTGAATTGGCGATTAGCACAGGTAACTTAGATCCGTTGTATAATACTTACAGGTCTAAACATGTGTGATTTAAGTTGAACTGTAGTTAAGTATGAAGCTTCACAAACAACTAAATTCTTTTTTCACTCACACTTACCCTAGAGAACTCAGCTCACACACTGAGGTCTGGGGTTCGAATCCCCGGTACGGCTGGAAAATGTTTCCTTGAGACACCTGCTGTCCATGTTTATCCATTAGTAAAATGGGTACCTGAGTCTTAGTGGACTGGTGTGGGTCGCATCCTGGACGTTAGTGGACTGGTGTGGGTAGCATCCTGGACGTTAGTGGACTGGTGTGGGTCGCATCCTGGACGTTAGTGGACTGGTGTGGGTCGCATCCTGGACGTTAGTGGACTGGTGTGGGTCGCATCCTGGACGTTAGTGGACTGGTGTGGGTCGCATCCTGGACGTTAGTGGACTGGTGTGGGTCGCATCCTGGACGTTAGTGGACTGGTGTGGGTCGCATCCTGGACGTTAGTGGACTGGTGTGGGTCGCATCCTGGACGTTAGTGGACTGGTGTGGGTCGCATCCTGGACGTTAGTGGACTGGTGTGGGTCGCATCCTGGACGTTAGTGGACTGGTGTGGGTCACATCCTGGGACAAAATTGACCTAATTTGCGGGAAATGCTCAGCATAACAAGCTTTCTATATAGTAGTATATCACTGATAGACTTCCAGTATGGGTGCCCCAAGTTGAGCTGTGAGTGCTGCTCCAGATTGTATTCACACACCCGATTTACACACTGAAATCGGTGGGTCATCATCTAACACCCGCATCAGGAAACCTTGTCCTGTTTCCTGACGAACCTAACCTAACCTAACCTAACCTAACCTTAGCTAACCTAAAGCAGACTCCACTTTCTGCCAGTCACTGGTTTAACACTGCATGTACCTACATACAGGTACCTACGTACATGTACCTACTTACAGGTACCTACATACATGTATCTACATACATGTATCTACATACAGGTACCTATATACGGGCACCTACAGACAGGCAGCTACATACAGGTACCCACATGGAGGTACTTACATACAGGTACCTACATACATGTATCTACATACAGGTACCTACATACAGGCACCTACATACAGGCACCTACATACAGGTACCTACATGGAGGTGCCTACATACAGGTACCTACATACATGTATCTACATACAGGTACCTACATACAGGAACCTACATACAGGCATCCACAGACAGGCACCTACAGACAGGCACCTACAGACAGGCACCTACTTGCAAGTACCTACATGGAGGTACCTACAGACAGGCACCTACATAGAGGTACCTACATACAGGCACCTACATACAGGCACCTACAGACAGGCACCTACAGACAGGCACCTACATACAGGTACCTACATACAGGCACCTACAGACAGGCACCTACAGACAGGCACCTACATACAGGTACCTACATACAGGTACCTACATACAGGTACCTACATACAGGCACCTACATACAGGCACCTACAGACAGGCACCTACAGACAGGCACCTACATACTGGTACATACATACAGGCACCTACATACAGGCATCTACAGACAGATACCTACAGACAGGCACCTACATACAGGTACCTACATACAGGCACCTACAGACAGGCACCTACAGACAGGCACCTACAGACAGGCGCCTACATACAGGTACCTACATACATGTATCTACATACATGTATCTACATACAGGTACCGACATACAGGCACCTATATACAGGCACCTACAGACAGGCAGCTACATACAGGTACCTACATGGAGGTACCTACATACAGGTACCTACATACAGGCACCTACATACAGGTACCTACATACATGCACCTACATACAGGCACCCACAGACAGGCACCTACAGACAGGCACCTACATACAGGTACCTACATACATGTATCTACATACATGTATCTACATACAGGTACCTACATACAGGCACCTATATACAGGCACCTACAGACAGGCAGCTACATACAGGTACCTACATGGAGGTACTTACATACAGGTACATACATACATGTATCTACATACAGG